CTGCTCCCAACTCTGCCCAAATTCCTTCCTTGGGGGCCAAAAATCAGATCCCTCCTTCCCCAACCCCCCAGAGGGTCCCCCCAGGACCTCATTTTGGGGTCTCCCTTGAAACTCCAAAAAGCGAAGGAATTTTTGTCCAAAAATAACTGGTTTTGAGCTTATTTTCCTCGTCCTCCCACATTTAAAGAAAAAAAATAAAAATCCAACTTCCAGCTCCCAACATGTGCTTCCCTCCCTCCCCTCCCCGTGTGAAACCAACCCCACCAGGGCTCGGCCACGCAGCCCAAATTCCTGGGATTTGTTCACCTGGAGGACCCTTTCATGCCTGGTTTGGGTTTGGGGTTTTTTTGTTCCTCCAGGGAATTTGATCTGGTGCTTAAAAATCTTGGGGAGCCACGGGGAGAGGGTGAAAGGGACGGGGAAGAGGCCAAACCCCACAAAATACCTAAAAACACCCCAAAAATCAGATTCTGTTTCTGGAGGGCACCGCTTGAGGGGGCTCGGAGCAGAACTGGATCTCCCTGAACCTGATTTTAGGATGGGGAAATATTCCCGGCTCAATTCCCCCACTGAGGGTTTTTGGGATCATTCCCCATGTGCAGACCTCAAATTTCTATGAGAAATAGGATTTTGGCCACTGTGGATTCCCACAGAGCCCTGGGGATTTTGGGGATCACTCCACAAACCCCAAACTCCACAAATGCACAAACCCCAAATTTCTATGGGAAATGGGATTTCAGCCACGATGGATTCCTGGGGATTTTTGAGATCACACCCTGTGCACAGACCCCAAATTTCCACTGGAAATGGGATTTTGGCCACTGTGGATTAACAGATCCCTGGGGAGTATTTTGGATCATTCCCCATGTTCAGACCCCAAATTTCCATGGGAAATAGGATTTTGGCCACTGTGGATTCCCACAGAGCCCTGGGGGGTTTTTGGGATCATTCCCCATCCACATATCCCAAACTTCTACGGAAAATGGGATTGTGGCCACTGTGGATTCCCACAGAACCCTGGGGTTTTTTTGGGATCAATCCCCATGCACAGACTCCACATTTCTATGAAAAATGGGATTGTGGCCACTGTGGATTAACAGATCCCTGGGGATTTTTGGGATCACTCCCCATGCACAGATCCCGAATTTCTATGGGAAATGGGATTTCAGCCACTGTGGTTTCTTGGGGGTTTCCGGGATCATTCCCCATGTGCATACCCCACATTTCTGTGGGAAATGGGATTTTGGCCACTGTGGATTCCTGGGGATTTTTTGAATCATTCCCCATTCACACACCCCAAATTTCCATTGGAAATGGGATTTCAGCCACTGTGGATTCCCATAGAGCATTGGGGATTTTTGGGATCATTCCCCATGTGCATACCCCACATTTCTATGGGAAATGGGATTTCAGCCACTGTGGTTTCCTGGCAATTTTTGGGATCACCCCCCATGCACAGATCCCACATTTTCATTGGAAATGGGATTTTGACCACTGTGGTTTCCTGGAGGTTTTCGGGATCACTCCTCATGCACAAACCCCACATCTCCATGGGATTTTGGTCAGGGGCTAATTTAAACCCCTTTATCCGAGGTGCAGCCGCCCCAACCCCGACCCTGCAGCCGAACCTGGCGCGGGGATCCTTTCCCAAACCGAAAATCCCGCTCTGGCTTTGGGCWCAGCAGGACAAGGGGATCACAGCGGGGCCGGAACGCGGCGCTGCCCGGGCTCAGGCCGGGACTAAGCCCGATTTAAGGTCCAGCGTTATCCTCGCTCCCTCAGGACACTCCGGACCCTTTTCTGCCACTTTTCCCACCTCAGACCTCCCCAAAAAACTGAGGAGATTGGGATGAACACCTGTGGGATTCAGGATTCCTGTCCCRCTCTGGAAATCCACAGCTTTGGGGTGTTTTTTACCCTTTCAAATGTCAATTTATCCGCTTCCCGCCAGCTGAGGAGCAGCCGAGAGTTCCCCGATTTATTTTTGGGGTGGGCTCTGGGTCTCAGAGCCCGGAATTCACCTGCAAGCCCTCAGGTTGCTTTTCCAAGGGAAAAAACCCTCATTTTTCCAAGAGAAAAAGCTCATTTTCCAAGGGAAAAAACTCATTTTCCAAAGG